TCATCTAGAAAAATATTTGGTCAGTGGTTCTGCCAATGCCAGTGGTATTGAGACTGAGCTCCGTAAGCTCTTTGGGAACTAAGACCTGCCAACATCTTGACATTCTCACCTTGCTAACTGACCTAACCATTCTGTAAACAGTTCCATCTGCCTGGAAATGCCCTTCCTCCTACTTTATCTAAATGCTCCTTGACTTTATAACTCAAGCATCATAGACTCTAGGCCACCTTATCTGTCTCTCTCCCTACCCTTCCCCCCTGGATATGATCCCACTACTTCCTGTGTTGCCACAATACCATTTATCACTCCAGAAGACAGTAGAGCCTAGTGGTTACTAATGCAGGCTCCTAAAGTCAGACTGCTTGGATTCTCATCCCATACTCCCCTATGTAAACTTGAGCAAGTTGTCTATCCTCTCTGAGCTTCACTTTCCTCTTCCACAAAACAAGGATAATAATGCTATTATTATAGTGAGGATTAAATAGTCTGTATAATATACAGGAACAGTACCTGGCACATGTGACCTCCTGCTATTTAAGTGGTAGCTCTTACTGTTATTTGTTTTATAAGTTCCTTATCTGGCTCTTTCATCAGACATTTGGGCTGGATCAAGATCTCATTTGTCTTTCTATCTCTGGTACCTAGCAGGGACAGGTATATGTGTAGTAGGCCCTTGAGAAGTTTTTGCTGAGTTGATGATGGAAAAATGGATGAGTGGATGATGGATGGATTGTTGGATTAAAGGGAAGATGAGTGGATGGATAAATAGATGAGTGTGTGGGTTTACGGGCTAGATGGATAAGTGGGTGGATAAATTGCTAAGTAGGTAGATGGATGGATGATTAGATGTGTGGAGGGATGAGTGGTTGGATGCATGCCTAGATGGATACATGGATAGGTAGAAGGGTGGATGGTGGGTTTATGAGCTAGATGGATAGGTAGATGGTCAAACAGATGGTTAAGTAGACAGCTTAGTCCCATTTAAATAGTATGGAACAAAGGAAAGCTGTGCCTCAAGTCAGTTTTGTCAGCCAGCTGAAAAGAAGATTGTGTAATATGTGATTTATTAAGTTTGGAGTTTTTTGTTGTTGTTGTTGTTTTTCCCCCTAAGCACAGCTGTCTTCCTGCTCTGGATTTTTGGTCTCGGGCAATCTGTTACTTACAATATCACTGTATCCTTGTAAAGTTAGACCTTCAGTAAATCTTCTTCAAGCCTCAGAGTATACACATGTATACTGTGTTTTGGCTACACGGAAAAGAACTATAATCCTTGCCCTGTAAGACTTTGCAGTTTAATTGGGAAAAGATAATTAATAGAAGCTTGTCAGTCACTGTTAATTTGGAGTTGCCTTAAAGCTGGGTCAGGGATAGCACCTGCTTTTGGTGACAGCCAGGATAACTCAGAAAAGCTACTTTGAAGAGGTGGTTTGAAGGCAAGGAAGTGTGTTGTCGTGAGGAGGTGGCACAAGCAGAGGCAAATCCTGAAGGTTGGAAGCAGAAAAGCCCAGAATGTCCAGAATATTGAATGCAGCCTGGGGCCCAATAGCACAGCCTGGGGCTGCTGATGGTGAGGAAACCTGGTTCAGGTTGGAGGCCTTCCCGTTGGCCCCAAACTACACAATAGCTGTAGGGTCCTCTACTAGTGAGGAGTGACCCTTGGAGCCTCAGATGCCTCAACCAAAACTGAGAAACACACTCCCTGCTCCATGGGGTTACGGAGATGATGAAAGGATTTAAGGCATGTGTCATATCAATGCCAGACCCGCTGTGTTGCTCAACATTCACCTGTTTTCTTCCTTCTTCATATAGCAGCATAGGCTGGTGGTCAAGAACATGAGCTTTAGACCCATGTTGCTGTTCAGCTTTGGAGCCTCATTGCTATCAAATCCAGTTACTAGCTGCAAGATCTTAGGCAAGTTACTTTACCTTCTCTGCCTCAGTTTCTTCATCTACACATCTGCTTGTGCCACCTGATGATTATAGCTGATAATAGTATCCACCTGTCAGGATGATTGTGAGGAATACATGAGTTAATGTATGAGAACCTAGGATAATGCCTGACACATAGTAAGTGCTACATAAGTATTTTTCTTATTTTAATACTATTTTAAATATTCCTAAAGAGATGAACACTTCGTTCCTGTTTACTGGAGTGAGAAGCAGCAAACCTTGTATCTATGGATAAGGTGGGGCGTAAATTCCCCTTTACCAAGCACTACTAATGTCAGGTGTTTAGATTAATCTAATCTAATATTAATTTAGATTAATTTATTTAAAACACTTTAGGGGCGCCTGGGTGGCTTAGTCGGTTAAGCGTCCAACTTTTGCTTAGGTCATGATCTCGCGGTTCGTGGGTTTGAGCCCTGCGTCGGGCATTGTGCTGACTGCCAGCTCAGAGCCTGGAGCCTGTTTCAGAGTCTGTCACTCCCTCTCTCTCTGACCCTCCCCTGCTCACGCTGTCTCTCTCTCTCTCCTAGAAATAAATAAAAACATTAAAAAAATTAAAACATTTTATATATTATATATCATGTATAATTTGAATGTGATTTAGATTAATCTAATGTTAATGCCCACTTTTGGGAGTAGGTAATTATCACGCCCAACCTTGACATGGAGAAACTGAGACTCAGAGATGCCTAATTAGTGACTTATCAGAGACATGCCCTTAGCAAGTGGCGGTGCTAGGATGCTAAGACATCACATTTCCACTCCCCAAAGCTGTTTAGGCTGGCAGTCATCCATGCCATTCACCATGGTACATGGATCAGGAAACAGAGGTCCAGGGGGAGGAACAGACTTACCCAGGATGTCACAGTGAGCAAGTGAAAGTTCTGGGATCAGAACCCTGGCCTCTTGATTCCCAGCCCACTGTTCTCGACAGTATGGAGAACATAGGTGTCTATAAGTCTTCATCAAATGGATCCTGCATTTTCTTCCCCAAGGAATCACATTTCCAGTCACTGGACCACAGAGCCAGCAATGGAGGAGAGGAATGATCACCTTATAGCATGAACCTGTATGGTTGGTTAAAGGAATTTGGTGACTTGCATGGGCTTTTCCACTCCCACCCATCATGGTAGGGAATTCCTCAACCCTTTCATCATCTAGGGTCACTGTTAGTTTAACCGAAGACACTGAATGGTTTTATGAGTGACCAGACAGATCTTGCTGCACTGTGGGTCATTTTGACCAGCCCAGCTTCCCAAGTAGGCATGGAGCTTCTTTTCTGCCATGACTTCTTAGCTCTCAGAGTCACTTTCCTTCTGTAGCTAGAGTTGGGCTCTCGTGAAAGATAAGAGAAAGCCTAGAGGTCACCTGCCTCGAGATTTTGGCCACTTGGAACTTGAGAGGGAGAAATTTGAGGCTCTGAGCACATGTTCCTACCCTGCAGATATAAAGGCTGCATCTTCTGTGCCAAGCAAACTGGGTAACAGTTGCAATTAACCAAATAACACAAGAAGGAAGGGAACTTTTCTTGCCTATTCAGATGGATATTTGGGGACCTTAATTACCAGCAATTTTTCTCAATCCACAAATGTGTCAGTTATTGTCAGTGAGACGAAGTCTGTAAGATAAAAGCACTCCTGTTTATTTTCCTAGAAAATACAAAAAGTTATAACAAAGGGAATATCGTGGACTTGTTTGAGTTTTTATTGTTCAGAAGCAAAGAGCCAGAAGGGACATCAGAAAGAGATTGCAGGTAGTGATTTTTCAAACATCCTTTTGGAGAGCAGAATTCTTAGTCATGTGACAGTTTAAATGAAATGCCAATTTATAAAAGAGGTAAAAATGGAGAAGTGCTGGATTTCATGGATAAGCAGTCCTACCTGCTCAGTATCCCCCTCTCCCGTTTCAATGAGGCTACTGTGCAGAACCCGCAGGATCCTGCACACACAGCTTTTAAAACTAGTGATCTAGTTCACCTCATCTGAGGATCAGATAAGAAAATAAAGGCATAGAGAATTAAAGTTGTAGTTTATTCAGAGTGAAGTTTGGAACTCCTTTCTCTTAGTGCAATGTTCTTTAATGATGAAGTTGGAATTTTGTTCTGGTTATCTACGAATAGGTAACAAACATGGATTTTAGTGACTTGTATTTCTTATGAATCTATGGTTTGGTCAAGGCTCAGAGGGAATGACTTGTTTTATCCCATGATACCAGGAATCTCAATTGACATAATCCAACTAGCAGGGTCTGGCTGGATGTGTCTCTTCATACAGTTTTAGGGTCTCTCCACATGATCTTTTCAGCATGGCAACCTCAAGATACTTGGACTTCTTACATGGAGAGTCAGGGTTCCAACTGAGAGTTTCAAATACCCAGACAGAGCTACAAGTCTTCTTTCTGATATATCCTAGAAAGTTCCAGAATGTAATTTCTACCACATTCTGTTGGTCACATAGGGCCAGCCCTGGTTCATTGTGGGAAGGAACTACACATGGGTATGCATACTGGGAAGTGTGGATCATTGGGAAGCCATCTTGAATGCTGCTATCTGATTACCTTGCTTTTGGCAAGACCTTACATGACTTACTTAAATAGATTCTGATGTGGTTTGACCTGAAACAGAGAACATACAAGTCATTATGGTTTTCCTTAGATCTTAAGAGTACTGTCACATGAAGAATGGTAGAGTAGTTCTAGAAGGCCACAGAAGTCTGACCCAGGACCAAAAAAGCCATAGTTACAAGGAGGCTAGTTTTGATTGACCATAAAAAAAGAACATAAACAATTAAAACAGCCAACATTAGACATGACTTTCTCTACATGAGTAGTGAGTTTCTCCAGGTCTCTCTCACTCCTTCTACCACTGAAAGTATCTGATTCTCAGTGAAGATGATTAGTAGAGAAACTTGCATCTCCTTGAGCTCTGGGATGCTGAAATACTATGTGCATTTCTAAGAATCAAGATTTCATATAAATCTAATTCTTGTTTGTTTGTCTTTTCTTTTTCCCCCTTTTTGGACATTTCCTTCATCTGACTGCCCATCAATATATAGAAGAAATGCTTATTCCTACTCCTATTACTTGTAAGTATCGACCCGGGGAAACTTTGCTTCGTGCCCTGTAAGGGAACCTGTAGCATGCATTTCCTGCACCAACCAAGTGTCTATTGGTTTCTCATACTCCCTTCTGTCTAAGTCATCTGTAGCCCCAAAGTTTTTATTTCTCGTAGATGTTTTCCATTTGAAAATGCACTATCATTGTTGCATTGTTGATGTCTGTTATGTTTCTACCATCTTGGGTCCCCCCCATCCCTTTGTTTGGAGCTTTGAGGGGATATTTCTCCTTTGGTTGTGTAATATTCTAGTTAGAAATCGCCAAATTTCAGCAAGAGGTCAACTTAATCCCCCTGCAGGACTTGCAGACATAAAACATAATCACAGATCTCAGCAACTTCAGGGAAATCTACTTGGGGAATGTGTCACCTTAAGGGGCTCAAAGGTTAGAAAGAAATTCATTGGCTGTTTCCACTATTTTCATCAAGTCTACAGGGAAACGGGACTTTACCTAAAACCAGCCTTCACAGGTTGTAGACACATCCAAGGTCTTGGGGCTAGAATTATCTCAGTCTGGTGTTTGGCAATAGTTATCTCCTGTTATCAATCCACTTTATTAGTAGTTACAGCTGGCCTGTTGCCTGTCAGGTTTTTTTTTCACTTTCTAAAATGATGGTTTTTCTCATTATTAAACCAGACATTTTGAGAACACAAAAGTAAAGGGGAAAAAACTACATAAATAGATCCTTGGTAATGAAAAGTTAAGAAAACCACTGAAGTAGTCCCATATCCTTAATATGCATTTCCAGTGTTTGAACATTGAGGTCAAGAAAAGTGTGTGAAATCACAGATCCAGTGGGATTAAACCTCAGAATGACTGGCTTCTGGTAAAGCGTACTGTCCATCATTCCATGTCTTGCTCCACCCCGGCACACCCAGCCTTACGAGAGAGGCCCTGTCTGTTAGTGATCATCTGCTGAAGCCTTCACAGATGAGGATGGAGCCAGCAAAAGGGTCTGCTGCTACCTCTGCTCAGGGTTTCAGTTTAAGGTCAGTAGGCTAGTCACTGAGTGGATAAGATTCTGGTACCACCACCATCACGTTGTATAGGAACCAATGGACCCCACCACCAACGTTGAAAGTACTGGAAAACTTGTTTCATTTGTTCATTCACTCATCTGGCAAACATGCATTGAACATGCACATTATGTTCCAGACACTGTGGATGGAGAGATGATGAGAACTTTGAGTCCCACCTTCCTAGCATTCAACCCTGTCTGGGGACTAGTATGAAATCAAATACTTGAAATGTTGGCTGAGATGCACCTATATGTACTGTGGTTTAGGAGCACTTACTTGGGTGACTAATTTTTTAATGAGACGGGATACTTACCAGTATTTTTGCCCACTACTTAGAAGAAACAGGAATTCTAAGCAAAGGGAACTGCAAAAGCACAAGGTTTACAATGTTATAGGGTGTTGTTCCTGTGGTGAAGAGAATGAGCTCTGGGAATTATGCAGCTCTGGGTTCAAGCCACATCTTTGTTACACACCAGTTATGAAGCCTTGAGAAAATCCTTAGAACTCCTTGAGCCCTATTTCTCTTCACTCGAAAATAGAGCTAAGAGTGCCTAACTCAGGGAATGAGGGATTTTATAAAGTGCCCCAAAGTTGGCACTAATGAAATGTTAGTTTTTTTAATTTCCTTTTTAGAAACCATAAGGGGCCAGGGAAGTATTGGTGGCCCCTGGGAGCTCCTCTGGCCTCTGAGAAGTTTTTCTGACATCGGTGTTCCACAGTAGTTACAGACATGCAGTGACTCATCCCAGGCTCTGGGCACCTCACCTCCTCTATCTGTTAGCCAGTGTGCATATCACTGTCTTTGGATGCCCACTTCATACCAGGCACTGTGCTGGGTACTGTGGTAGAATCAAAAATTTACAGTGCAAGAGTGTAAGAGACAGACTAGCAAGTACTTGTAGTTCAAGGTGCAGTGAGAAACAGTTGTGCAAACTTAGAGTTCTTTTTTTATTTTTTTAATGTTTTATTTATTTCTGAGAGAGAGAGAGACTGAGCCTGAGCAGGGGAGGGTCAGAGAGAGAGGGAGATAACAGAATCCAAAACAGGCCCCAGGCTCTGAGCTGACTGTCAGCACAGAGCCCGATGCGGGGCTCGAACCCATGAACAATGAGATCATGACCTGAGCCAAAGTCGGACACTTAACCAACTGAGCCACCCAGGCGCCCCTGTGCAAATTTAGAATTCTAAGTCACAGATTTTTTTAAATGTCTATTTCTGAGAGAGTGCACACAAGAGGGGAGTGGCAGAGAAAGAGGGAGACAGAGGATCCCAAAGCAGGCTCTGCGCTGACAGCAGTGAGCCTGATGTGGGGCTCAAATCACAAACCATGAAATCATGACCTGAGCACAGTTAGATGTTCAACTGACTGCCACCCAGGTGACCCCTAAATCACAGATCTTAAAGTGTGAAGCTCATGCCAGCTGGGTAACTGACCATGGTTGAATATTCAGAGGAGCAAAAGAACTGAAAATGCAGACAGAGAGGTAGGAGCAAAGCCTTAAGAACCAAGTCCATTGCAGAAGAAAGATTTGACAGTAGGGAGGCAGAGAGATGATGACATGGCCCTGACATCTGAGCATCAGCAGTCACTTGTGCAGGTCATGGGGTAGGTTGAGGGAGGAAGCCAGCCTAGAGGCCATGAGGAGGAGGATACTTCTTTTTAACCACTAGGCTCTAAAACAGAGAAGAAACATGAGAGTGGCTACTTGAAGGGTCAGAAAGTCCTGGGCACTTGTATAACGAAGTAGAGGGGTCTGTGCAGAGGAAGAAGCTGAAGATGCTGGTGGGGGGCAGGGAGGAGGGCACCTCTGGAAGGGAAGGTCTGGAGGCACAGTGTTTGGGGGAGAGGTAGCAGCCTCGGAAGGGAGGCACAACAGGTTCTGTGAGACCGTAGGACTGAGAGATGCATGTAGGTGGAGAAAAGGGATCAAAAAGGAAATGCTGGCCCCTGTGATTTGCAGATTCAGAACTCCCTTCTTAGTTATAGACCCCAAGTGCCTGCTTTCAACCCTCTCTCCTCAAAGTGTGGTCTGTAGACCAGCCTCATTGGCAGCACCCTGGAGCTTGTCAGAACTGCGGCACCCAGGGTCCCAGCTCGGACCTCCTGAATTAGAGCCTGCGTTGTAACAAGATCCCCAGATGGCTCGCGTGCACATTTAAGTTCAAGAAGCTCTGACTTAACCAGAATCTCTAAAATAAGAAAAGTAATACCTTTCCTTCAAGGGTTGGAGAGCCACCTCGTCCCTCTCAAACCCCCAGAATCTTCCACGAGAGAGAGCCCCTCCAACACACTTTGGCTAAATAATCTTTTCAGTGAAATCCATGTTTATTCATTCAACAGGTATTTGTGGGGTTCCCACTTATGTGCAGGCACCGGTCAAGGTTCTGGCATATAGAACACCACAAACAAAATTCCCTGCCCACTTGAAGCTTTCTAGCAGGAAAGATAGAGAATAAACAACATGTGTAAGAAAGGTGGCATAGATGTTACAGAATCATCAATGAGCTAAGGGGAAAAAGATAAATAAATCAGAGAAAGAGTACGTGAGGAGCAGAGGAACATTTCATAACAAAGAGGCCTTCCAGGGCTCTCCCTCACTGAGAGATCCTATACACAAGACCAGGGATCCACAAACATTTTCCGTAAGGAGGTCCTAGTAAATATTTTTGGCTTTGTGAGAAAATGGTCACTCTTGCATCTATTTACCTCTGCTGTTGTAACAGAGAAACAGCTATATACAGTGCACAAGGGAATGAGCATCAATGTATTTTAATTTAAAAAATATTTTAAAAAACCAGATAGTGGACTTGATTTGTCCTGAGGGACATAGTTGGCCAGTCCCTACCCTAGACTTTTGAGACAGGAGGAGGATGGAGTTCAAGGTTCATCCTGTTTTGTGAGCTCCTACTGTGTGTTGCCCCGTGTGCTTGCTGTTGCAGACAGAAAGGTGAATGAAGTACACCTGAACCACTTGAGAAGTGGGTGGAAGTTGAAAAGAATTACCACTTGGTAGTTGCTATGGGCCAGACTCATCTAATGATGACAAGTCTTGCAAGATGCATGTTAACTGTGTTGAATCTATTTAGACATTGAGACTGAGCTTTGAGGAATCGTCTAGATCCTGCAGGTGAGATGTAGCAGGGCTACGGTTTGAACCCAGGACCAGATATCCCCAAGCCGTGTGCTTCCCTCTCACTAAATCCTGTTCTTCAGGGGATGGAGGGGCTTCTGTCCAGACCATGTGCTTGGACAACCCTTGGCCAGGCTGCAGGAGAACCAGGATCCAAAGGCAAGTCTGCTTGTCTGAAGAATCTCAGTTCTGTTCATGGACATCAGTGCCTTGCAAGGGACAAGAAGTGGTAGTTATTCCTGATTGACAGGGACACCCTTGAGGCAATTCTGTCTTTGCTGGCCTGTGGATTTGCCAGCTGGTCAGAGCTGAGAGCACTGCGCTGCCAGATCAAAGGTAGCCAAGGAGTTAGAGTAAAGAGTTACCAACAGAGTGCTAATAACGACCAGGATAAACAGAGCTATAGATCAAAGGAACTGAGACTCAGGACAGAGACGAGTCTAGAATGGAGCCCTTCATTGTCCAGCACACACTAAAAAATAGGGAAATAATGTGAGTTTTGTTGCCAAACCTAGTTCCCAATTCTGTGTCAGACTGTTCAGACATCGAACATTTATGGAACCACTCTGAGCCTCAGTTCTGCAAAGCGGTGATAACAGTGGTAACTCCTCAGCATCTTTGCATTTTGGGGAGGGGTAGCGAGAGGGTATATGTAGAGTGGCTGACACCAAGTAGCAGCTATGAGTCCTCACATCCCGAGCTAACAGATGCTAATGCTTTTCTAGAGTACCTTTTTGCCTTTCTCTATAGTAAAGAAGCACCCAACAGCTTCAGTGTCTGCTTTTTAAAAAGATATTAAGAGTTGGAATGTGTTCACG